ATTTGCTGGTACATTTCACAGCTATTTGCTTATACCAGAAGAAATTTGAGCCCCGGGCATCCAAGGTTCTGCAGACCACTGTGACCAAATATCTTATTCAGACTCTGCTGCCCCTGTTGCTTCCCCATGCAGCTCCTCGTGCCCTGCCTGCTTCGCGGTGCTCCCTGTCAGAGAATCACAGAATATTCAAGGTTGGAAGGGACCTCTGGAGATCATCCAGTCCAACCTTCCTGCTTCAGCAGGGACACCCAGAGCACGGGGCACAGGGTGGTATCCAGGCGGGTTTGGAAGATCTCCAGGGAAGGAGACTCCACARCCTCCCTGGGCAGCCTGTGCCAGGGCTCTGGCACCCTCACAGGAAAGAAGTTCCTCCTCACCTGGAGATGGAACTGCCTGTGCTTCAGGTGTCCTTGGTGTCCGCTTTCCTGTGTCCGCACAGCGCCACTGACAGGGAAGGGGACACGGCCTCGTTGCGCCTCCTTTAACCACGGGGACCAGAGGTGCCCACAAAAGATCCCTCGCTTTGCAAGCCAGGGATGCCAACTGCGACGGCACAGGGATGGGACATGGAGAGCAGCAATCCAGGATTGAGAGYCCATCCATGAACCACCACCAACCCGTGCATGCACGGAGGTGCAGAACTGCAGCACGTCTACAGAAACTCTCCCAAACTGTGCCTGATCCTTGAGGGGCACCCCATGCCCCACAAGGCTTCGGGCCACTGCATCAAGGAAACACAGGGGCTCTCAGGCAAATGCGATGCGGAAACCTCTTTAAGACAGATAAGATTTTTTTCTCCCTGTTCCTCCTCTTTCAGATGACCAAAGTTGTTAAAGCAGATTTCCCACTTTATCCCAGCACACAGCTCACACACACACACACGGAAATTACTAGTGACTGAAAGGAGGCTTCTTGCAGAAGAGCCTGCTGGCAGCCCCAGCTCTGCCCGCACTCCTGGGTGCAGCAGAAAGGCACCAAGTGCTGAGAAGAGCAGCCCAGCAGCCCGGCTCCGGCCCGCTCCGCCCGCTGCTAGCACGGCCACAGCACAGTGCACATCATAGCACATGGCCACAGCACAGTGCACGCTGTGGCACACGGCCGTCACCGAGCAGACAGCATACGCAGCACTGCAGACGAGCCCCAGCAAAACCCCTATGCCCTACCATATCATCACTCATTTTATTTTTGCTACATATGCCGCAGAAAACTCCTTTCCGAGGGATCTGGAATTCAAGACTAGATGCCTCAGTGATGGTGCTGAAGTTCAAAGCGGTGTGATAAAATTTAGCAGGTAGCTGTAATTTTTTTAAGATGATACACCAGTTTTGTGTGCGTGTGTAGGAAAGATCCTTCTTGCACACCATACTAAAGGTTCCTACATACTAGTATGTTACTGGATAATATTAAGAAATGCTTTAGTTTCTAATATAACAGAAAAACACTGTTACAAATGTAGAGACTGGGGGGAAAAAAAAAGATTTTGTGACTCCTACTGAATTTGTTTTTTTCCTTCATGTCTTATTAAAGATAACAGTTATGAAAGTGTCACTAAATAGGAGTGACTAACTCAAGCAGAGCGGGTAGCAAATGCATCTATTCATTAATTATCCTGATCATCATTCAAGCATGATGTGGCTTATCAATAACTTCTTTTTCATTTATGTTTTCTGGTTTGGGGAACATCATAGTAGCCAAGATCTGAAAGGGTGTATCTGTACAAATTGGGGCAGCTTTTGTGCTGCTATATTTTAAGTATCAAGGTATCATTGATTTTTCTGTTACAGAAAATTTGCCGTTCACTTAGATCACAGCTAGAAAATATAAACAAGGTTCAAAGCACAAAAAAAAGTAGGAATTTATCTATTTCTTCTTTTAATTGAAAAATTTTTAAGCACCGTAGCACAACACAATATGTTGTATCATTCCTATTAAGCACCAACAAAATTGCTTTGCTATACAAGAGCAAATAGGATTCAAGAAAAGTAATCTAATTTTTATCTAATTCTAGTAATTTGATTTTATCAAACCTTAGCTATAGCTGTGGAAATCGTAGCCATAGTGCTAAAACATTCTGCTTGGCAAACCACCATTAAATCAACCGCTTCACACTTTTTGTTATTTTTGCCATAAACATGAACACAGTGAGGAAAAAAAAATGCTTTCATGTAGCATTGCTTATCGAAACACAAGTTTGTATGGTTACACACACATACTCACATGTACCTTCAGTGTTTTTGTGAACTACTCTGTATCTCACATAAGGGTACAGAAAGAGATCGGTTCCTCGTGCGGCTGATGTATACAGGTCCCTTTGCCAYGGGCACTACGAGTTTTTATTTTATCCTCGGAAAATGACATTTGATATGGATATTTGGTGCTCGTGTGGGCCACTTTTCTCTAATTCTGATAAGGGGAACTTCCCCTCCCCAGGGGCTTGACAAGGGCTAAGYGGAAACCTCCTCTTTGCCAGACGAAAGGCATGGTGACACTCACATGTTATTCTGCTGCTAAATGCAGGACAAAGATTGCACAGGRGAGAGAGGAAAACCAGAGGGTTTTCCTGCCGATCCCAAATTGGCCGAAGGGCTCAAGAGGCTCCGTTTCGGCGCCCACGTGCCCAGCCCTGAGGTCTGCTGGGTGCAGGGTGGGCAGCTGCAAAGTCCTCAGCTGGTCCCTGGYGCGGAATTGAAAAGTTCACAAAATTTCCAAAACCATCATCTCATAAAGCCACAGGAACATCCGCGTAGACCAGGTTAAGGCCGATAAAGGCTGCAAGCATGACAAGGTTCTGATACAGGAGGTCTGGTTATGCAGAAGTCTTCAAGAGGCAAAATGCAACGGCTGAAGTAATAAAATATAATTCCCATTATATTGAGTSTCTTGTCACTTAACCCTACTTAAAATAGGGTATTATTATGAGAAAGGTGTCATGATAAATCTTTCTTTCCCACAGAGGCGACACAGCCACTTTCCATTCCAAAGTCCTAAACACTGTTGAGTTTCCAAGTCAAATTTTCAGATATTTTCCTACTAAACAGTTTAGTGCTCCATAAAGAACCACAGCACTCAAATTCTGAAGCTATTTATTATGAATCAAGATAACTATTTTTACAAGACGGGAAGAGGACAGGCAGCTAGTAACTGGGAATGTGAAAAAGTTAAAAAAATATGAAGTTTACAGAACTTCTACAGATTTTTATTTTCACTGAGAGAGACAGAAGGAAAGATAATTTTTGGAACAAGCCTTCTGATTTCTTTAAACTAGTATTTTAAAACTTTTTTTTTTCCCATCACATTAATTAGCAAACTGCAAAGAATCTGAAGAAAAACATGTGGACTCCATTTTATGGAGAGTGGGTAATTTATTCACTTGGTCCCAACAGGTCACACCAGATCCAGACGAAGAGCGCGCATTTGACTCCTGGCCTCTGTAGCCTCACATATTTAATTGCTATCATATGTATTTAACCAATGTATAGCATTATCTTCATGAATATTCATGAGGGATAATGCAGTTATTGAATAAACAAAACAATGAACAAAACCTGAATATTATTATTCAACAACAGTGTGATAAACAAACAGTTTATCGGCAATATACAACTCTGAAAAGACGGGAGGAATCCTGCATTTGGCAAGACTGAAAGCTCTGTACCACGAGCTGTTATTTTTCCTTTACAAAGGCCAGAAAGAGCTCTGATACGCTCAGGTACGTCAGACAGCCCTCACTACACCCTGCTACCTTGAAAAAGTGTTCTCAATTAGAAATACATTACAATTGTCACAGCTAAGCAATTTCTTTCAGAATAAAGGGGTTCTGTGTGATTTCATGGAACAAGACAGTATTACAGAAAACGTAACAGAAAAAATAAATTGTCAATTGCTGTGTCTCATATTAAATGAGAAGATTTCATTTCTACTCTAAAAAAAAATTAAAAACAGTCATGCAAGGGCTACGCACAAACAAAGGTATATATGACTCAACATATAAAGGACTAGGTTTATCATTAAAAAAACCAACTTTGGTTTTATATATCCATTTTTGAGTGTGTGTGTGAAAAGCACCCTAGAAACAGCAATGTTCAAATTTAAGTTGGATTTTGAGAGCGCTTTTTTTTTTCCTGCAGCAGTCAGAAATCCTGCTGATGGGCCAATTTACAAATGGATGATGTCATTTTGATAAAGCCCTATTTTAGTTTCATATACCCAAGTGTTTCAGACAAATAGGCTGGAAATACATTCCGAATTTATGCTTTCTGTGAAGCATTTAGAAAGGTCAAGATCAAAATGACAGAAGGAAAACAAAAAGACAAGAAATCAAAGTACAGTAACTATTAAGCTACTGGTTTAATACTAGCCATTTTGTGTATTCTGTGTTGTTTATGTTTGTATTACATACAGTGGAGTTGATTCCTGACCGATAATTACATCAACAGACACAGAATATAGTAAGCAAAAAAAATTCTTTATTTATTAAGCATTATTACATTGACAAACTCTGCTTTTAATAGGAAGATCATGTTATATTAATTCAAAACTATCCTTTAAGCATATATATTTAAACTCTAGTTTTACATACACATAATGAAAGAAAACTTTATTTTACAAACAGCTATTTTAATAGACTTTATGAAAAACATGTTTAAAAATAACTGCCAAAATATCCATCTCTAAATATACAAAATCCCCTTGCTGTGCTGAAGATTTCTTTCTCAAAAGCCAAAAAAATATTTAATTCAACAGTTGATTCCACATCAATCCCCACTGAAAGCAGCAGTGATATAAAAATGTAAAAGCACTGTACGAAGTAAATAAGTACAGCTGTTTCTAGGTCTTAATAAATCACATACTTGTATTTGTTTTAAAAATGTTTTATAAAAAATGCTTTTATTAAATTTAACACCCTTTCCTGTCTGCAAAAAAAAAAAAAAAAAAAAAGCCATTGAAATTATCCCCAGCTACTCAAACTTCTCTTCTTCTTTGGAAAAAATAACACAATGCATTTTACGTTTGTTACTGGATATTCTCCCATACCAGTCATTGGGAATTTTACCACTGACTTCAGTGGAAGCAGGACTGAAAGTTATCTTCAGCATTTAACTGTGCAACCCCTCTTAACCTCACTTGGTTTTCCCGTTTCACATTGCAGAACTGACACAAAACTTGTAACACATGAACTGATGAAATCATAAATAAAGTTCTTGAACTTAGGAGGTTGATGTATGGACTAATCTGCTGTAAAATCAAGTGTCCAAGTAAATAACAACCAGTTTAACAGACTTGAAGAGATGAAATCCTCAAAYGGTGCATCTTGCTGAATGCTCTTTAACCAACTGCAACCTGTTTGGATATTTGCATCATACCTGTCTGTGCATGTGCTTGAATGTGTCTGCGTGCGACTTCACAGCATCCTCTTATAGCCCTTTTTGGCATTTTTTCTGGAATGAGCTYTTCAAGAACATGCGATATCCCGGGTCATCCACATATTCATTCTTAAAACGGGAACTCAATACTCTCTGCCTCTTCTTTTCTCCCTGAATTATATCTGCTCCATAAAACGTATCTTCAAATCTCATGTTAGAAGCTGTAGACTGAAATGTGACATTAATTACACATTGAGTTTCATACAGGTCATCACACTCTGATGTATTCTAGGAAAGTCATATGGAAATACATCTATATTTCATGACCTTGCTATCAAGTTAGCTATAACATTGCTCATACAGCTACATGATCGTTTTCAGGGCAATGCCTCCATGTTGAACATACCCTTCTGTAAATTTTCTTTATTTTTCAGCTTTTGCATGCACATTATTTAATTCTCTAGATATGTACTTTTCTTTAGAACCATGTGACTAACACCAGGTGTCCTTCATTCCATCCAGAGACCAGAGATGACTCTCACTGAGGGCTAAAGGGAGTGACATCATTGAAGTGATGAAATTGTTCACCTGGCTCATTCCTGACAGTACCAGGTGCCACCGGCCACTGTGTTTTGTTCAGTAAGTGTGGGGCACTATGAAATGGACTCTGCCCATTGCCCAATCTGCAAATAGGAGTGATAGGTTCATCTGCCTGTCAGCAAGTCAGTAAAGCACCTGGGCATCAACTGAAATAAAACAATAACAGCAAACAGCAAGCCAACTGGATAAAAAAAAAATCCCAAAGCAGAAGTTTTGGGAAAAGCTGCCATTATTGGAATCAATAGTAAAACAACTCCCAGACTTACAAAACGCATCATTTAAAAAGAGTTAGTGTCACATACTTCAAGAAAGAAAATGAATATTATAAAATATCTTTAAATTTCACCATCTTTGGCACAGAGGTAAAGGAGATGTTAAGAATACTTTGAGGACTAAGGTGAGTATTTATAAAATCTGAAGGATTATTAGAAAATCATGCAGAAGTTTTGAGCACTGGCTGGAGTTTGTTTTATTTAGTTGACTAAATTTAATGTTTTTAAACTACACTTAACTCCCATAAAAAGTTAATGGTGTTGCGCACAAAAATAAAATATTGATCTATAAAAATGCCATTTTAAAAAGAATAACATAAACCTAGCTATATCTGCATTGTTATTCTTAGTGAAATGCAACAGTAAAACAGATTTACAGAACATCTAGTTAATTATAAATGCCTTCTACAAATAGTCTGTAAAAACCATAAATGGTAATGGAACCTTTTCCGAACATAATGAAAGAGGCAGGTGGCTCATTTAATATTTTTCAAGCCACTTATCTCAGCCCTAGATGGTCGGGACACTGTAAGACGAGTGCACTTATCCCAGAGCAATTGACAAAATAAATATCTTAGTCAAGAATATTTGATCATGGCACCTCTCCTTAGAAAGAGCTCTCCTAATTTTGCTCAGTTTGGGAAAGCAGAGCAGCCTCCCAGCCGAACACCCCCGTAGCAGGCTGACAGCATCGTGCTTCTCCATCTCTCGTGCCCTGCTGTCCTTGTGCCCCTTTCCTCGGTCCCCATCCATGGGATATCCCAAGTCCACTCAGGAGATACCTACTGGGAACTGACCAAAGGGAGATGTGCTGGTGATGGCCAGCAAGAGGCACTGAAAGTGAAGTTCAGCCTGAAATCTGCTCCAGCTGCCTCCATGCTATGCCATGTTTAGTCCCTGGAATTCACCCGAACAGACATACCCCAGGAAATACCGTATTGGATTAGTCACACAACATCCATGACAAGGAAACGTAATATCCATTTTCTGTCTCCTGTGTCTGCAGAATACCAGAATTTGGCCCTGTGAATCTCGCTCTTTTTCCAAATGTCAAATACTTGAACAACTGTCTGCTGTGTGTTGTTTGAAACAGAAGGAAACTGAGAAAATATAGGGAAGATTTGGCTTTAAGCCACTTAAACACTACGGAAAGGATGGTGAGTCCAGACATTGATTTGATTGAGTTCTGCTCAGGTACTTAGTTTCCTAGCATAAGTTAATTGTATTTTTATTAAATTCAGTGCTTTCAAAATCACAAAGTTCTGAGAACATGGGAAGTTTAAAACAGTATTATACATATTTCATAAGCATATAGAAAAAAAAATGTTATGTCTATCAATTCAAAACAGCTTCCTAACTTGATCCCTCATGATCTGACAGATGTTCTACCAAGATCCTCCCTTTAGAAAAAAAGGGAGCATAGATCTAATGTATAATAATGATAAAGTATTATCATCATGGGCAGTCTTACTGCTTATATATAAATACTAATAAGGCATCATCTGTAAATACTCACAAAACGTGCTTTTACTCTCTTGGGCAGCTCTTCATCTAGTGTGTATATCTCTTCTCTCTTCATTGCTATTTGTGAACCATCTTCAAACTCAACCTAATTGAAAAAAAAAAGAAAGAACTTTAAAGAGTTTCTGAGAATAACTCTGAATAAAAACAAACTTGCAAACACAGAGGATTTATATGCAAATACTTTGTTGTCTGCTTTAGAAAGGTACAGTTAGGATAAAACAGAAAAAAAAGTAATTTCTGATAAATTACAACCCAGTATAATCACTACTCAGTCTAAACAGCAAAAATACTTCAAAATTAACAATAACATGCATCCATTCAACAAATTAAAAGTTTACTAGATTAAAAAATCCAAACAGTAACACCAGACAACACTGTTTCGTAGTAGCACATTAAAATAGCTGTTAAATAGTTTAATGTCTTTTTTAATTTCCCTCTTTTTTCACCTATTTCTAATAAATAAAAAAATAATTGTAACATCCTATGCTTCAAGGTTGAGGAAGACCATGTCAAAAGAAAGAAAGTATGAGTGACAACTAAGGAAATACCAGTTAACAGAATTTTATTGAATCTGATGGAATTTCTTTAAAATGCTCTGTTCAGAAGATGAAAAGCTTTATCATGCTTAGGTTTAGATTTAATCCAACATGAACCCCGTTAGCAGAAAATGAGAAAGGAAATGTAACTAGGTGTGGGGAATGTTAAAATGCTGAAGCTTTGAAGCATTTATACCTTTTCAGTAGCTGCTGACTTTTTTTAATACTTCATCTAACAATAGTGAATTTCATCTATTATCCATGTCTGTAGTTTCAATTCCTACAGAAACTGTAGTTTAAAGAAAAAGAGTTTAGCAAAAAGCAAAAAGAAGTCCCATCCCACAGCCATAGGAATCTTTAATGAGCCACTTGAATGACAACAGACTTAAGACTGCAAGGATAAGAACAAACATTAACTTATCAAAAGGCAAATATGAAACTTACCATAGGCAAATGTGAAAAATATGTATCTGAACTTGTAAATTTACTGTGTTTTGCAGGTCCAAAACAAAATCTTGCCATGAAAGTTTAAACTACTACTTTTAAATACAATGAATATGTTGGATTAATCGTGAACAACTGAGAAAAATATGTTATATCCATTATCAACCACCAGGGTAGACATCTATAAGCTATTAACATATTTCAAAGCTGGATTTTTAACAGCAATTTAAGATGCACAAATCTGGAATGCATTTAAAATCCACCAAGSACAGAGGTGCAAGGAATCTTTGCTCCTCCGTGCTCCCTAATGGAACCTAAACCCATACACCTAGTCTGTCAGTACTAAGTTACAGAACTTACAAGTCACTTAACTTGCTTAACCAAATGATGACAATTTAGCTTTTTTCACCAGGTCATAGGAAGCCCTTTATGTTACTCATGTTTCTTACTACATAAAACATTTGGCAACATATTTTTTTGCATCGCTTCCAGAAGAAGTTGGCAGGAAATAATGTCTGTTGACTCCACGGGATCAGAAAATCACTTCCTGAATGGTCAATCCTTCTGGTTTCACTAGTGCTATAGCAGGAGGCAACTGCTTCAAATCAGAGGATCTGACATGTGAGATATATTGAACATTTACGATGAAGAGTAAATGGATTTTCTTAAGCTATATTTTAGCATGCCACACTGGAAATAAATTTGCAGCACTGTTAAAGGCAGACATGAAATTTCCCCTAAGACTTTCAGCAGTGTCGTGATTCATGCAAAATGCTAACCTACCATCTCTAGTAGCTCCAATTTAATACAGACTACACAAACTATGCTTCCAAACAGTAATTTTATCTAGTATTTTTTTTTTATTTCTGTTATTGTACCATATCAGTTTGTGCAGCATGTTATTATCTCCATGAGATTTTTTCATATCAGGACCTTATAAATTAAAGGTTCAGCTGAAATTGCTAGAAAGCAATTAATAGGATAAATGAATGACTCAATCATCTCCTAAAACTCTCAAGAACATTGAAAACATTCATGTCCATACTAAAAATGATCACAACAGTAAAGAAAGATGCCAGATATTAACAATTTCTCTTAAAGTAAACACATGCTACATTYATCATGTATAATCCTGCTTTGGGATTGTGAGGCAAAACAGTTTTGCAGACCTCCAGCCAGATAACAGGAATCCTGGAGCACTGTACTAGCTCCTGCATGCAAGTGCCACCATGTTCTTTGCAAACAGGTCACAAACATAATGAAAACGCACAGATTTACCTCACTGAAATAGATCTGTTCATGTTCTACGTGACTATGATAGCTTCTTTCACAATCTCCTATTCAGTTTTACCCTTACTCTTAAGTTAAGAGTTAAAAAAAAAAGGGAGTATGTGTAGCACATATGCTGGGTGCTATCAGCCCCTTTCCCATGCAGGAAAGAGTGGAGGGCGCAAAACCAATGTGTTCTGAGCTCAGCCTTGCACCCTCCATGTCACAGCTCTTCTGTGAGCAGGGGCCTGGTTACGGCAGCTTCCCCTCTTTCCTAAACATTGAGATACTTGTTCCAGTGCCATCTGGACTCCCTCTAATAACTGCATTTCCCCTAGGAGAGGCGTTGTTGCAAGGCAGTTTACTGTAGACTCGCATCATTGTTATGCTGAAAACTCAGAACCTTTCTGAATCTCCTTATGTTAATCCATTTTCCCTAAATTAATCCGATTTCCTTACACTGTGTTAGAGGTTGAAAATAAGACTAAGAAGTTCCATTTTGCTACATCAGTTTTTTCACATATGAGAGATAACAACAACATTCATCTAATCTACCTTATTCCTCGGAAGACAAAATGTTTAGAAGATTAAATGCTTTGAAGATTAACATTACTACGGAACAACAATCTTTATATTTTATAAAGAACTTTTCACCTTCACAACATAATACAGCCATTAAACATAAGGGAAGAGGTAAGATTTAGAGACTAGCTCAAGAGATCAGGCACTTAAGGACTCGAGTTCGACTGCAAGTCATTGGCAAAGTGAGAAGGTCACCGCAGCAAGTCATTTAGCCTCTCTATGCCTTAATTTATCTACAGATACAACAGTAAATTTGCCATTTTTCTGGAGTAATGTGAGGCCCTCAGATGAAGAGTTACATAAGTGAAAATGATTATATATATATATATATGAATGAAATGTACCTAGGTTCTCGTTCTTTCAGAAGTGCTATTATTACTCTGATTGTTTTATTGCAGTTTCAACCATTCAGTCGGGTACTCAAAGCTGCTGACTGATTTTTCTCAAAGGCAAGCATATAAAAAACAATGATTATGTCTCTCTGAAATCAAAAATCAGCTTTTTGCCCTTGCTGACAGTGCTCTGTTTCCTAGTTCATTTGCTAAGGGTAAAGCACTCTGCAGATTTTGTGCTAATTAATATGAAAGTGCCATCAGATGAATAAAAATAGGGTTATTTGCACTCTTCACTTTCCTTTTATACTTTTTATGAAATGTCTGAGGCTGAATACAGCCACGTGTCACTAATTACATTCATGTCATTAATTAAGTAAGTACCTGGCATTAAATAAAAGTAAGTAACCTAGAGAAAATAATAAATGTCATCTTGCCACCTTTATGTCCCACCTCTTCCACCTTGTAAAATTAAGACTATTGATTAATGCTGAGCTCTTACTAAGCAAGCCATTTTCTTCCTTCCATACGAACAAATGAAACCTCAAATCCTGAAGAGTGCCCCATGCTTATTAATGTTTTAGACAGCGGTTGCTGTGGGTACCTCAGTTTTTAACAGCTACAATGGCGTCCACCCGCCTGCCTTCTGCTCTCTCAAGCTGTGGCCCATCACTCCAGCACTGGAGTGGGACAAGAAACCCACAATAAAACAGGCACGTGGTAGTAAACACAGACACTCACCTGATACATGTGGGCTACGTTGGTTCCCAGGTACTTTGCACCATACAGTTTTCCATCGGGCCACTTCACCTGGACAACCTCTCCCTCGGCAGGTGGTCCCAGTTTTAGGCAATCTCTGCTCTATTTACAAAACAAGGATAATTATTAAGTCAGTGAGTGAGATACTGCATTTGGAAACTAACAACAGTAAACTCCTTTTTTCAGCTGGATAATTGGATAAGTGCAATTACTACGTGTGTTTCGAGTTTTATAACTTTGTGAATAGACTAACATTCTGTTAGCCTTTATAAAAAATAAACAGTGACCTCAGAAACCCTCCCTCAGCAGCTTAATGTCGCATGGGCAAGACAACAAATGCATAAATCAGGCAGATATCAGCAGCTGTGCTACATTTTCCCAAATTCATTTCTGTCACACTTTGTGAATGAACATCACTAAAGTGCAATTGTGTAATTTGCAACATTTTTTCTACTACATATTTAAGTAATTCGTGTTTAACAAAACAGCAGTGCATTTTTGCTAGATACTAACTTTGGTGCCTGAAACACAGTCATGACTGATCAAACTACAAACAGGGAYAAAGGCAATGAGTGCTTTGCTCAGTTTATGGAGGAACACGGAGTCTACGTGTTTACGGTAGGGATGTTTTCTTCTTTTTTTGAGAAGATAGAGACATTTTTTTCCTGTGTCTTGGATGCTGGCGGAAAAACAAGTTGCTTTTTTGACTATGTACAGAAAATACAGAAAATTGGATTATACTCTCAGTAATTCCATCAGTGTTCAGCTTCAAACAGCTTCTATCCATATACCAATAGGTTTGACACAGTACTGGGTTGTTTCTATGTATTTGAAGCCTGTGAGAGAAGGAAAAGGTGGAGCTACTTAGTGTCAGCTTTCAAATGTAAGTCAGGGGCTGGGAGGAACTGTGAGAAAGCACACGAGTGTGCAGGGATGGGTACGTATTTTAGAAAGTGCCTTTAAGAAGCAATACACGTGGAGGAACAAAGCACAGGGCAATCGCCTTCAAGGAGCCCAAGGAGCCCTTTGGTGACTCGTTTTGTGCTCACTGCCTCACATCCTCCTCCTCCGCACGTGTGGTCCATCTGCAGAGCACGTCAGCCTCAGGCCTGCAACAACAGCAGTCCCCACCCGGAGCAGAAAAACTCACGGCTTTAGGCTTTCTGACGCGGCTACTCAGTATACGGTTCTACTTCAGGCTGCTGCAGCGTTACTGCCATTTTTTAAGTTTCAGATTTATGTAAAGCACTTTAAAGTAAAAAAAAAACCTACTGCCTTCATGTATTTCCGAGTTCACCAGGCACTTCAAACTCAGCCGGCCAATCATTATTACAAAAAAAAAGGCCAGAAAAAATGAGAACAAAAACACACCAGAAGTGATCAAAAAAAAAGAGCTAATAACCCCCTTTTTTAATATTACCTTGTTACCGTATCAGATTAGTCAAATGCAGGCCTTATAAACTTATTTTAATCATCTTAAATTACAGATTTGATGCAAATTTTGAGAAAAGTAATGAAAAGCTGGACTTTCACAGTGTTCTGGTAAACCAGACACTGCCTCCATGGTCCCACAGGGCCTTTGACAAGGGAGCAGTTCCACACTACGTCCTGCTTCAGAGATGTATCCTCTCAATCCTCATCACCCACCCAGTGGGTCTACCCCTTCTAGGGCAGGGGTTGTCATTACTGCATTATCCCTCTCCTTATCACAGGGAGATGAGAAAGAAGGGTTAACACCTGATTTTCCACTGTAGAATTATTATGACTTCTCAGGATTGCAAAACTCTTTCACAGCACTCACTATAAACTAAATGAGATTATGTTTTGAATAGTCTGCCCTTTGTGACGGTGGTGAAGATGCCCATTCTGATAACTTATTTTCCTACTTCCATCTCCTCAGTGTTAAGCACAAGAATAAATAAATAAATAGATAAAAAAGCATACGCTGGCCCACTGTTTTGAACCCAAACTCTTGAAATGCATCATGGAACACAGCAAATTTCCTAAAAACAAACAGTCCTTCAACAATGCCATGGCAAACATTAATTTTTCAAGAATACAAACACAGTCTGAATTGCTCCCCCTGCACCTTCCATAGGAGAAAACTCTCACAGCTTCCCTGGGAGAGCTAATGGAATTGCTCATATGGAAAATTAGAGTTCTCATGCAAATAACTAAAGTGAGCTGGAATTACAAGAGAAAGCCATTCTTCATGTACACTACGGCACACTTTTTGGGAAATATGCACTAAACAGTTCATGCTGCTTTCTGCCACAGAACACCTAACTTTTATTTTATATTGATCTACAGGACTTATTTAGAGATTTTATCTTTTTTTTTTTTTTTTTTTCCTAAAAATATATATATTCACCTTTTTCTTCCAGGGAAATATTAGACCTATTTCTTAGACTGACAAAGCTGTAAACATGCAACCTCACACTTCTTAGGTGTATTATGAAAAGTCAGGTATCAATATCGGCTTTCTTATACACCAATTGCAAATAACAGGATGTGAATTAAATCTACATTGAATTCATGAATTGTGTACATTTCGCCTACAGTTTCCTATCTTCTGTTTGTAAATGAAGCCCTATTTCTTTGCATGAATGGATACAAATCATACCTAACACTATTGAAAAACTTAAGTGTCTAATTTCTTGTTCTACCTGTTTCACAGAATCAGTGAATTGCTGAGGACAACATTATACACAATGTTCAAATTGCAATGTGCTAAAAAATCCATATATATATATATGCACACACACACACACACACGTGTATATGCACATACAGCACACACATACTTATATATTTATACATACACACATGCACATGCATACATTTATGCATTTTCATAAAAGAGTAAGCAATCCCTTAGCAACAAATGTTTAAAAATATCCTGAAAAGATGATGAAATTCGAGCCTGCCATAGCTGGTACTAAGAAATTCCTGGATACAAGGTTGCAGATACAATAGATATTTTGCTTTTTTTCACACTGTTTCTCTACTGCTATTTTTTTTTTTTTTTTTTTTACCATAAAAGTTGAGTAACACTTTGGTACATTAAAGTTGGATGGAATATTTGCAAGTAGCAAATCCACCTGCAGTGGTAGCGTGGTCATGGTTGGCATGCATGATTGGCAAGTAGAAAAATGGAAAGATATATGAATCCACAATAAGAAAAACAAGGTGGAAAGTCACCAAGTGAACCGTGCACTTGGATCAAGAAACTGGGAAAGATGCAAGGTTCTCCTAATGCGAACATAGCCATGAAGTTGAAAATCAAGCCATCAGTTCTAGGAAATGTCCTTTTCCTAGAAAGTATGGATATTCTGATCTATGATGAACTAAAGAGCAACTGAGACTGTTCCTCAAAACTGTCAGAAACAGATGTTCCTTGGATTCCTGTATTTTATTTTAACAGTTTTTGCCTGGCAATTGTGTTCTGAATTCAGCTATCTCAGATTCTAAAATTGTTTTAGAAATTATATAAGAGCCTTTGACTTCTGAAAGCAGGAAGACTGAAAATAAATCTCTTTGGTGAATTCAGACCATTCAAAAAAGAAATTGTATGATCCAATCATCAAAGTCAACAGGATTAAATTTCAGTGTCTATGAATACAGCATATTCTGCAAAGTTAGTTCAAGGCCTTCTGGCACTGCCTAAAAGAGGCCTGAAAGTTAAAGTGATAGTTGAAGTTGAACTTAATCTTTTATGCAAAGATTGTGGTAGGAAAAGACTGTCTTCGGTCTGTGACTCTGCATATCAAACCAGGTCTAGTCTTGACAGTAAACTAGATACTGAGGTAAACCTTAGRAAAGAAATTATTGACATAATCCAAGTGGGATAAAACAATCATATTCTTTTTTCAGGGTTTTTTTTTTTCCCCCATCAGTGATGAAGGGAAGCAAATAAATGAAAAAGACCAAAAGCCTGTTATAACAAAATTARTATCATTTAAAAACAAATTGTTCTTTTCAGGTTAAATACATGAAAAGAATGAAGCGCTGAAAAAGAAAGAAAAAAAAACCCTGAATTCTGTGAATGGATAAAATGCCCACCACTGAATACAGCAGCAGAAAGTAAATGTTATTAGCCTTTATCTTCTGCAATTTTTTGCTTTTCAATAATCAGTTTATAATTCAAAGTTTGATCTTTTGGAGTCTTAAATGGAATGTTACCCTTCCAAATCTGATTTAATGTCCTGAGTGAATGAGATGTATGATTGGTGAAGGAGAGAGTAAATCAGCAGAAGTAAGTTTATGTACATTTAATAACAGTAACATTGCTCATTATCCTTCAAGCATTTGCTTAATAAGAAGCAGCAAAACCTMAGATGAAAATGTTGGATCCAAGCATTTTGGATAAGAGATATAAACCTAACTGCAAGAGTATATTTAAATGTTACTAGTAAATGGTTCCATTCAACATGGAATAATGCAAATATCAGGTCACCTGACAAACTCATTGAATCACTTGGTTTTTGTTAATTGTTTTGATGATTGTGTAAAAAGTAATCCCATTCTTATTCAAAAGAAGACACAGTAACAGTGAGGATCATGGTCCCAGAATTGATCCTTCCAGCAGATGATGTAGAGTAATATATCTTGGTGTAAGAGCTGTATTTTGCCTCCTACTCACACTATGGCATGAGCATTGTGTGGAACCTCTCCTATCAGGGAGAAAATCAATTTCCATCTCGATCAGATCAGAACATTTTTTTGCAGAAGATTACTAACCTCTCGTTCTTACAGCTGTGCTTCTACGCTGAGCTTAACAGAGGAGAATGAACCATTATAAAAAAGATTTGCCACTATGTGCAGTGGTAAGCTGCTACTGAAGACTCTCCTCCACAGCTGATGAATACCACTGGCCATGCGATTGCTCTGAGAAGAGTCCTAAAACATTCAAACAGGCAGAGCTATTAAATGAAGACTGAGATTTCCTTTTCAGTTGACACAGAAATAAAGGTGGAAAAATGGAAAGATACTGATGAAAAACTGATTTATGATATACAGAATAAAGTGGGAACACTGCCTGTGAACAGCTTGTGGAAGCTTATTCCTATTTACTACTAGCCTATCTGAATAGGGATGAATTA